ATATCTTGACATCATGATCAGATCTCTATCATCTGGTATGACAATGTAAATTATCAGAGGCATAACCAATGGTAGCCAATGGATGGGATGTTCCATTTCTGTAACTGGAGATATATAAGAGATTAGTAAGAATACTGTTGTAGCATACCTATGGAGGATAATGTATATGTCCCCATTCACATAAATACAGTAGCAAATACTGTATGTTGGTCTGCAGTTGGAGATTCATTGTGGAATTCAGTTGACTATTTCTTCTACACGCTGCTGATGAATCTTATGCATTGTTCATATCCTAAGTATTATCGTTCATTACCAAACTTTGTATGATTATTCTATTCAGCAACCTTTCCTAGGTTACAACAAATACAGATCATAAAATGTACAAATTCTATTTCTAATAAACTCTTTGGATCTTGTAGGTTAAATTTGACTTCATTTGTAGGACTTTTCATACTTTGTAATTTGTAATAAACTCAATTTATCTAGCAAATCTTAGATAAACTCACATTGTCTTCATGCCAAATATTAAGTAAATGAGCCTTGTCATTTGTCTGTCATTTTGATGCAAATGCATAAAAAGAAATCTCAGATAGATTTGGTCATTTCTTTTTTTGTAGACATTTTTTTTTTGTCTATAAGTAAATGTTAAAACAAAATATGTCTATTAGAGCAAACCACATAAGTTAGCACAGACTTTTGGAAATGATTATATCAGTTTGAAAGATGTGACTAATAAGAGGCATGGTGGAGTAATGGATAACGGCTCAGATTGAGGAACTGGAGAGCCAGGTTCAAATTCAAGTCGAATCCATTACATTCACTTATGTGCTTGGGAAAAGTATGAATCCTCCTCTTCTCAACAACCCCCCCACCCCCGCTAAGGGTAAATAGCAGGACAGACTGGGATCTATAGCTTTGGATGGCAACTGGTCTACTGCAGAAAAGAAATACTGCGGGAAAAAATCTGCCTTGTCAGTCATGTATCAAAAGATACATAATCGCCTAAGTGTGTATCACGCATGGCACATAACTGACTAATGTATGAATTTAGTCAGATATTCAACATCAAATTTTAAACAGGAAATTAAAGTACAAATTGGCAAGGAAGTGAGTCATGCCTGATGAACTCCTATAGAAATCGGCCAGTGAATAGACAGAGGACTGGAGTTTTCTCCCCTTTGTTTTATTAGGTACATATATGAAATAAAAAGCCTTAGATAAATATAAGTTTGATTCAAAAGATCTCTGCACCATTTTTTTCATACACTATTCTGGAAATCTTGGACATGTCTTTGAAATTTAGCCATTACTTTTTTTGCTTGTACCATGAATTAATTGCAGCGCATAATTTACACAACTTGAGAAAAATTCAAACCTAGTAAAATAAGTTCCACGTGAACTTGTGGGAGGAAATGGTTATCAGCTTTTAAACAAGCTTTTCTTTTTGTCAAACACTAAAAAGAAGTTATTTTTTAACACAAATATAATTGAAGGAAATTAAATTTATTATTAGAATCCAAAACAAAGAACATGGAGTATAGATAGAAGACAGCATTGAGAATTGGTGTGTTTGAATTATTTCTTGGAAGAGAAAAGAACATTTTTCTGAGTAAGGAAGTGAGCTAGTGACTTTCCTGTATGAAAATTCTTTTTCTTCATATGATTATGATGCTAATGGAAACATATTTACAGGCAGCATCAAAGAATTTCCTACCTCTGACCTTGGATGATCACTTTGTTCCATGAAATTCAGATCAGTGGTTCCAACAAATTTAAGAGTTGAATAATTGAATTGAAATTAGAATTGTCTTTTTATTCTGTCATACAAAATTTAGCTCAAAGATGGTGTAAAATTATTGAAAACTAGGGAAAATATTATTATGAGTTACAATCACCTGACAGAGTTTTTCACACCTAACATCAAAATATGATAACATGTCTGTGGCCTTCTCAAAGCATATTTCTTATATGTCAGAATGCCACATTCGCTTATTTTTTGTCATATTACTGTTGCTTTGCCTTATTACTGTTAATTTGCCTTGCATATATTGTTTGCTTGCCTTATATATATATATATATATATATATATATATTATTGACTTTGTTCTGGAGATAATAACACATAAGGACTGTCATTCGGAGTTTCTGTGGCAAGTCTTTTGCACCGTTACTTTTTATCGACAGATCCAAAAAGTATGGATGGTCTGACACAAGCCTTCACCACTTGAAACAAATCATTGTGTTGGTTTTCTGACAACTACATCTAATTAGTTCCACACATATCTGGCTACTGCCAAAAACTGTACAGAACAACATCAACTTCATCTTAGCACTTGGAATGTACAAACTCTCCAGGACAACAACTCAGTACCAGAAAGAAAAACAGCTCTGGTTACATTGGAGCTAAAGAAGTACAACATTGATATAGCTGCACTGAGAAGTAGCCATCAATTGATTACATGAAACAAGGAAGCAAAATAAGACATGAAACAAGAAAGCAAAATAAGATATCTAACAGTGTTCCTGCTGCACTTGGATACAATACCTTCTCCTGTACTGTTTGTGGTCTTTTTGTGCAATTCTTGAGCTGGTCTCAAAAAGTCATGCCCATCATAGGCATGTAGATAATTAGTTTGTGGTTGTTAGAATCTCACTGAACTCAATGGGAGAGTCCATCATATATATATATATATATATATATATATATATATATATATATATAATTTTTTTTTTCTTTCTCTTGTTATTGCAATTTTTACTGCAAACATTGTCAATTTTGTTTGTTGGGCAGTTTGCTGGCATTTATTTATATTTAACCATGGCCACTCACTGTTCTGATGTGCTACATAGTTTTACCAGTCTTGACCATCACAGCTTTGACCTGGAATGAATCATTCCCATTCCCTTTATATTCTATTAATAAAAAGGCAGTTCTCTCTGAACATCTTCCCAAGAGCTGCTGTTATGTGGAACAAACTCCTCAGAGGATGCCTTCCCGATCACAACACTCTTAACCTCATTAAGTCTAGAGTTAATTGTTTTTATCTTTTCTATATATCCTCTTAAGCTGCATTTCTAATCTTCTCCTTTTACATGCATCAACCTCAATCAGTAATTGTCACTCTCTTGAGTGACTCATGAGCCTAGTATTGAATGAACGATTAGCAAAAAAAATCAGCACATATGCTATGCTCTAGTAATCTTTTCAGTAGTCCAAGTATAGAAATGAAACATTTGTTTAGGAAGAAATAAATATTAGGTTTTAAGTTAACAAATTTTACCATCTGCTGCCCTAGTGGAGAAGTGTTGGTTGTCTTGGGTTCAGTCCCTGTTTTAAACTGCAAAAGAGGAAAAGTAAAATGTAATGACAAATTAACAAAGAAGAATTTTACCATACTATGAATTGAATAATGGATTCAGTTTGAAATTCTCCAAAGGTTACCAAATACAACAAGCTGTCAAAGATCAATCATTATCCCTGAACTCTACAATCTTAACCTTTTCAAGTCATTGGTCAATCATTCTTTATCCCTTTTATATTGATAAACTTGTAACCATATCCTCTTTCACTCATATCATACCTCCTTCATGATAACCATTTTAACAGTAACTTTCTGCCTAGAGTGAACTTTAGTATAAAAAAATATAGCACTTGAATATGATCATAGGCTACAGCAACTGTTGTGACAATAACAATGAAAATAAGAACACTGTTTCAAACAGAACATTTTATTTTGTTTTTAAAAACGTTTTTTTTTCTTTCTAAATATAAAATTGTAAACAATGAATAAACTTTATTCTGTATGGTAATCAATTAACTTCATTTTTATTCCTTTGAACACAACATTTTAGCTAATACATTATTAAGCCTGCATCAGTTGCATGTTTTATGACATCAAAATCAATAAATTAATATCAGAATATCTACCTATTTTCTTACTATTAATATTAAATAAAACTTCACTCACTTTCAAAGATCAAAAGGGTAATAAAACTAAAGACATCAAGTTTGTGCATCTTTCTTTTGTTTCTACTCTTTCCCCTTTTCCTTTCATAGCTTTTTATTTTTCTTGAGCTTTCTTACTTGTCCTTTACTTTGCCTTTCTTATTTCTTCTTTCCTTCCTCCTCTTGGTTTTCCCAGTTAATATTCCTATTACAGTGTAGAAATGAACAGATATATATTTATATATATATATATATGTATGTATGTATATATATATATATATATATATATATATATTTATTTCTAATTTATTTGTTTAAACATTATTTTAAATGGATACTCTCATTTGAGTAGATGATCTGTTTCTATTTATTTATTAAACAGTGTATTTATTTGCATCTAACAGCCTGAATATTTGAGAAATCTTATTAGAAAAATATGCGTCCTACAGCAGGATTTGAACCTATGTCCCCTAGGAGAAACTGTCATTAGATCTGACGTGCCTTAGACCAAAATGGCCATATAGGACCTCTTGATCAAACAAAGCTTGTATAGTTCTTTTGAACACATATCTTTTCCGATTCTGTTTTGTATCCTAATGTAGACAAAGATATTTTTTTTAGGAAATGGATTAACTTCAATATATTTCTAATTACATATATGTAAGTTCAGAAAATTGTTATTATTACCTCACCAATGTAATCATGGAAACTTTATTCTGGCTTTTTCTTTGTAATTGATTATACTGAAAATGTATTACAAGTTTTATTTCTCAGTAGTTTGTAAGCTATAAAAATTTTTAGAATATTTTAATGTAACTTTTAAAGTAACTTACACACCTTAAAAGTCCACAGGTTTGATGTACTATAAATAAAACCTAACCAACCAACCAACCAACCAACCAATCTTAAAAGTCCTTTACTAATAAAATTTCTTGATCATTTCTTACTTAAAAAATTTTTGTCTGTTTTCAGTAAATCCATTGAAAATAATATTCATAAAAATTTCTGTGTATTATAAAAGAAAGAAATATTTTTCTTTTTGTTTTCTAAATAGGAAGGATGTGGTATTGATTACAAGTCTCCTGGCAAGGTAAGAAAGCATTTTTTCCTATTTTTTTTTTTTTGTATGTCATATTGACCCTTGCATCTTTTTTTATGTCAGATTAACCCTTTCATCTTTTTCTACATCATAGTAACCCTTTCATCTTTTTTTACGTCAGATTAACCCTTTCATCTTTTTTTTACTTCAGATTAACCCTTTCATCTTTTTTTTACGTCAGATTAACCCTTTCATCTTTTTTTTACGTCAGATTAACCCTTTCATCTTTTTTACATCAGATTAACCCTTTCATCTTTTTTTTTTTAACCCTTTCATCTTTTTTTCAGATTAACCCTTTCATCTTTTTTACATCAGATTAACCCTTTCATCTTTTTTTACATCAGATTAACCCTTTCATCTTTTTTTACGCCAGATTAACCCTTTCATCTTTTTTTACATCAGATTAACCCTTTCATCTTTTTTTACATTAGATTAACCCTTTCATCTTTTTTTACGTCATAGTAACCCTTTCATCTTTTTTTACGTCAGATTAATCCTTTCATCATTTTCTACGTCATAGTAACCCTTTCATTGTTTTCTATATTAACCCTTCTATCTTTGACCTTTAGAATTCAATAAAACTATTTCTGTAGTATTTGGTTTTATCAAGAGTATTTTGGTTTTTAAATCAACCCTTTATTGTTAGGACAAAATATTGATCAATGGCCACAGCTCATCTGAAAGGTTTCAGGTATTGGTGCTTCATTTCTTTGCTACTTTGTATTTCAAAGCATCATAATAATTGATGGTCACCAACTTTCAGATTTTAAGGGACAAGTCACCAACTTTAATATACTTAAACCAGTTTTGAGCAATATAGTTAGATATTCACATCTCAAATTCTGCAAATAGTTTCTGAGACTTTGAAATGCAGTTTCAAATAATGCCTCAATATTGTCAGAATCTCTACATTTGTTTGTATCACTGAGTGTTTGTCTTTGAGAACAATAAGATAAGTTCGTGTCAAATTACAAGTACATAAGTTGCATAATTTGCACAACCTATTTAAGATTTTAAAAGAAACATTTGTTATCTTGCTGATAAGAATATTGCTTCAAATAATCTCCTTACTATTAGATCTGCATGATGAGTTTTTAAACAGTACTCTTTGTCAATGGGATAAGTTAAATTTTTTAGATATTCTTCTCTAGAAGGCATTTATGCTGAATATCTAAGCCTCTAGAAAGAGATGCTAAAATATTTCAATACCACCTAATTCCTAAAATCTGATTAAATGGCCTAACCAGAATTTTTTCTGGAAAGGCTTCTTAGTTGGGTTGAGAATTTTTCCGCACACTTTCACATTTAAAATCTTAATTTTTCTACATTCATTGCATTCACTTTTAGCTATACAAATTTAACTGATAACAAATTTATTCCAACAATGACAATAGAAGTTTTGGGCATTGTTCATAATAATTTTGTATTTTGTTGTAATTTGACTGAGCTACAAGCATTTTCTTTCTACAAAAGGATATTGTGGTTCATCATTCACATGATATATTTATATAATTATATTCTGAAAATTTTACCAACATTAGTTGGTTCATACCAGTTTTACTTAGAAAACATTGACTTGCAAAAATATGACATTGTGTCTGTGAGTGTGTGACTGCACATATATATATTTTTTATCACTTTAAATGCTATTTTTAGTGGATATTTGAGTAGATGTTCAATATAACAGTATATTTATTTGTGTCTACAGGCCTAAATATACTGTTTAAAAATAAATGGATCATCTACTCAAATATCGGTATCCACTAAAAATAACATTTAAAGTGGTAAAAATCTGTTGGATTAATAAATAAAAAATCCATTACCGCTTTAGAAATTGCTTTAGCTATAATCACCATCCCATCATAATTTACTAAATAAACGATTAGAACTTATCTCAAAATGCAGACAAGAAAACAAATTTTTATTATGTTACTTAAAAATTGAAAACTAAAATTCCATCAGGAAAAATGCAAATATATGCACTATATGCAATGCAGATAATATAATATACGTTACCCATCCAATAGGTTTAAAATAAACAAATAAGATAACCAACCCTGGAAAATGTGTGTGTATATATATATATATATATATATATATATATATATATATAAAGAGCGTTGGTTGTTTGAAAAGTCCACTGAACTCCAAGAAGCTTCAGATAGAAAGGATCTAAAGGCTTTCTATGCTGGCCTCAAGAGCATTTTCGGTCCTCAGAAAAGTGGTGTTACTCCTATCTCCACAGCAGATGGTATAATTCTCTTGACGGATAAGTCAGACATTTTAAATCGCTGGAAAGAGCATTTTGAAACTGTGTTAAACACTGTAGTGATACTAGCAAATTAGTATGCATAATTTGCATAAGCATAAGTGAACACTCTTATAGGTGGTCACTGGAAATAACGAGGTAGAAGTACGAGTTTAGCAGCTGATTAGTACTAAGTTCAACTTCACAACAATGGCGCCGCCGATAGGATATCAATTGTCTCTGGAAGATCCAGATTTCGTGGATACATGGATTCGTTGTTTCTCTGCCACTGCGAGAACAAAAAAGTTGAAAGACAACAAGGAAAAGGGAGGCGAAAATGAAATCACGGATTTATTTTTGGCTACAGCTGGATGCGAAGCGATAATGAAAGTCTCCACCATGGCATATCCTTTAAATTTGGAAGACCTGACTTTCGAAAAAATAAATCGGATTATAAGAAGAAATATGAGACCCAAAAAAAAGACTGGTAGTAGCAGAAAGAACAAAATTCATGTCGATGAAACAAGAAATTAACGAACCAATTATAAAATATCTACACCGTCTACGAAATGCATGTAGATATTGTGAATTTGAAAAACTTGGACAAGACGAACAGACTATTGAAGAGGACTTGATTCAATTAAGATTAATTGAAGGTATGTGCGATGCATCACACTGATATAAAATAATGGAACAATTACAAATAAGAAATATGTCTTTAAATACATGTATTGACTTTATTTAGCAACAAGAACTAATACAGACATACAACCATTATAAAAGTCAATACAGCAAACAAATATTCACCGATACATACATGTTAAAGAAGATAAAAAAGTGTTCGTATTGTGGATGTGAACACGAAATAAAAAAGGAAAAGTGTCCAGCATTTGGAAAAACTTGTAATAATTGCTTAAAAAAGAACCACTTTCAAGCAGTGTGTAAATTAAAAAAGAAAAATGTTGAAAGAATTCAAGAAAACGACACTGATAGGGAACTTTTTACATTAAAAAATAAGACTATAAAAAGAATTGAACATAAGAAAAAAGACATTATAGTAAAGGTCAAAATTAATAACTGCAATTTAGATATGCAAATTGATACTGGGAGTGAAGTAACACTGATACCAAAAAATTTTGGGGAACACATTGGTAAGCCACCTTTACAAAAAAGCAGTTTACAACTCCGCCAATTTGATGGGTCGGTTATAAAAACATTATGGATACTTTGAAGGTTCATTAGAGTTAAAAGAAAAATTTGAAGTAATACCTATAATTGTTACAAGTTGCAAAAAAACCACGGGCTTATTGGAAATGATGTGCTTAACATAAATTCTAAGTTAATTAATGAAATAAAAATGGAAAAAAACTGGAAAGTTAAAAAGCTATGAAGCAAGTTTAAAAGTAAAATAAAATGTTTCCCCCTCTTATTATGAAGCATGAAAATTACCAGTACATTTATTGCCATTAGTAGTGACAAAACTATGTAAATTAATAGAACAAGACCTTCTTGAACATGTTCTGCCTGGAGGTAGCAAGTGGGCATCACTGATTGTAGTTTTGAGGAAAACAGATGGTGATTTACGTATTTGTGGAGATTACAAAATAGTTGTAAATCACAAGATATGCTCGGATTCATATCCCATACCCAATGTTGAACTTGCATTACATGCACTGGCAGGGATGTCTGTTTTTTCAAAAATAGATTTAAAAACGACATACCACCAAATACCAATAGATGAAAACTTCAAAGAAGTAACCACGATAAATACACCAATAGGGTTACTAAGATGGAAAAGAATGCCATATAGAATAAAAACCACAAGCGCCATATTTCAAAGGGCCATTGAACAGGTTTTAGGAAATGTACAAAATATGATTTGTTACCAAGACGACATATGCATAGGAGCTACTAATGAAAAGGAATTAAAAGAGAAAACTGATTTATTCTTGAATAGATTAAGAAATGCTGGAATGATGATAAATGAAAAAAAATGCGTAAGCAATTCTAACAAAATATCTTTTTTAGGTTATTCCATTTCAAAAGAAAGGTATATCACCAGACCAAGCCTTGATAGAAATAATACTAAAAGTAGCTACACCTACAAATAAAAAAGAATTGGAGTCTTTTTTTGGCATTGGTAAATTTTTACAGGCGATACTTACCAAAATACACAGACTTGATGGAACTGTTTGCAAATTTAAGAAAAAAGAATGTGGAATTTATGTGGTCAGACGAACAGCAAAAAAGCTTTTGAAAGATTAAAAGAAATTATGTCAAAAGAAACCTGTAGTGAAAATTTTGATCCAAAAAAGGACATAACACTCACTACAGATGCAAGTGAACATTCAATATCAGGAATATTATCACAAGAAGGACATCCGATAATGTATTTGTCGAGAAGATTAACGAACACTGAATTTAATTACTCAAACATAGAGAAAGAAGCATTGACTATCGTGTGGACAACTACCAGAGCCTGACAATTTTTAATTGGGAAAAAATTTCTATTAAGAAGTGATCATAGACCATTAGAGTTTATATTTAACCCAAGGAAAGAATTATCCAAAGTCATGACATCAAGGATTCTACGATGGGCGATAAGATTGATGGCATTTGACTTTGATATAGAGTATGTCAAAGGAAATTCAATTCCACATGTGGATGCACTATCAAGATTGAGGTTCTACAAGGAGTCAAAAGATAAAACAGAGGAAGAATTTGAAGATTCATTCCTACACTT